CATGGCAAGTTCAAGGCCAGCCTGGCCTACATAGTGAGACCCTATCTCAAAAAATAAAATAAAATAAAAATAAAGACTACTATGGGTCTGGAGCGTATCTCGGTAGAACACTTGCCTAAGCTTGTGCGAAGCTCTGGGTTCAATTCCTAGCACTGCAAAAAAATTAATAATAACAATAGTAAATGATAAATAAATAAAAATGAAAGATATTACAGTCATGTGGTGGCACACACCTGCAATCTCAGCTCGTGGGAGAGAGGAGGATCTTGAGTTTGAGGTCAGTTTATAGCAAGGTCTTGTCTCAAGAAAAAAAAAAAAACTACCACAAAAATAAGTAAGTAAATAAACAAACGTGCTATGGATTGATAATAATTTAACATTGCAATGAAAAATGAGAAGAAATTGGCAGGATTGATATTCTTTCACCCAGAGTGCGGGCTGTTTGTCAGATAAGACAATTAATTCTCTAATCAGGTCTTTTGAGAGACTGGAGCTGGGATAGGGAGGCTGGGGAAGGAGATAGAGAAAGAGAGAGAAGGAGAGGAGAGATGGGGGAAGGTGGCATGGACAGGAGGATAGACAGAGGGAGAAATAATTAGTGGAATTGTGACCAAGTGCTATGCACTTATATTTTTTTAGCTCCCGGGGTGCACTTTTCCCATGATCACTGACTTAGCACTTTTTAAGGTCAAGCACTGCTTTTAGGGCTTCGTATACATTAACCCATTTATTCCTCAAAGCAACCCTAAGGGGTAGCTACTATTACAATTATCCCTATTTTGTAGATGAAGAATCAGAGGCACTGACTGGTTCAATAAACTGTTGAAAGTTCCACAGCTAGCAAAGGATGGGACTGAACTTGAACAGGTACTTGGGCTCCAGAGTCTGTGTTTTTTATTTTTTATTTTTAAGCAATCCTCCAAATCTCAAATCTCTTTTTATTTTATTTATTTATTTGATGGTGCTGGGATTTGAACTCAGGGCATTTATTTGCTGGCTAGGCAAGTGCTCTACCACTTGAGCCACTCCACCTGCCCAGAGTCTGTGTTCTTAAACTGTGCATTATACTGCTGTTTTGTCTTGTTTTGTTTGAAATAGGGTCTCCCTATGAGGCTCAGATTGGCTTCAAACTCTTGATCCTCCTGCCTCAGCCTCTTGAATGTTGGGATTACAGGCATGTACCACCACACCAAGCTTACACTGCTTTTCTTGATTAAGAAGACAAAAACAGGAAAAAAAAAATCCAAAATGTTGGGCATATGCTATCTCAGTGGGTAGCCCTTGTGACATGACCTAACTTGCAACCCTTATCCCAAATTCTGGTGCATAATAAAAGAATCTGGAGACCTCTCCTTTAAAAGAAATTTGAAGAATTCTTTTTCAATTTCAAGACATATGCCCAGGATGAATCCAGCAAATGTTGAGAGTAGCAGTGAGCTAGTTCCTCAGGCACAGAGGTCCATCAGGCATCTTGGAATTTCCGTGAGTTGACACATTGGTTTCAGTTGTCATGGCACTGAGTATCCAGCACAGCCTTCTCTGGTAAGATCTTGGGCTCCAGAGGAGGCTAAGGGTCTCTGGCATTATGAAGGATCATCACCCTTCTTCTTCACCCCTCCTGTGGGGCAGCCTGGGGTCGCACCTGCCCCTGGCTGAATGGAGAAGGTGACTAAGCCTCCTAAAGGAACTCTTGGCTCTGCTCTCCCCTGAGCCTCCTTGCTGGCTGCTCTGGTGTGGTAGAGGGAGCACTCCACTGAGAATCTAGCACTGGGTCCAGCCTTGGAGAAACACGCCTCTTTGGGAGAAGAGTCCTCAGTGTTCTTATCTATAATTAGTGAGTAGGCTCAGATAATTGTCTCTAAGGGGTCTTTGTGAATTCTATGTTTAATGACATGCAAAAATAATCATGTTATATTAATTTGTGAAGAATAGCCAGGTTTAGTAGTTCATAGCTGTAATTTCAACACTTGGGAGGCTGAAGCAGGAGGATTGAGAGTCCCTTTCCAGCCTGAGTTATAAATATAGCAAGATTCTGTTCACTTCCTTTAGAAAACATGATGTTTGACTTTTGCAATTTATGTTAAAAATAATACATGTAAAAGAATGAAGGTATTTGTTATTTCTGCATCCCATCTGGTGCTGGGAGAAGAGTTCACTAGGAGCCAGGGAGCCCCCAGACACTTAACCGCACTAGGCAAAGAAGAGCCAAGATCTAGAGTAAGGGGATGGGGAGGAAGGGGGGGAGATCATTCATGACAGACCTGTGTGAACTTCACCTCAACCCCACAAGAATAAGAAAGGAGTATTTAGAAGCTTCTTTTACACCTCCACCTCAAGCAAAATGGAGTTCCGCTAAAGGTCCACTGTGCTTTGTCAGACCTTACGGATATGACAACTGGTTAAAAAAAGATGGCCTTCTTGTGAACTCTATCTCTGTTGAGTGGTGAACTCTATCTCTGTTGGGTGTATGACCTTTCTTTCTCTTCATTGTGCTTTTCTTGCTTTCTGATTTTTCTATGATAGACATATATTGCTCAGGTAATAAAAACTCTATTTAAAAAATGAGTACAATTTTATGGAATGTCTCTAGTCTGATGTCATATTTTGAGAATAGACAAGGGAATCAAAATTTATTTGTTTGGAAGGGTTTGGTCCCAGAAACTCTGAAAAGCTAAAATACTTTTGTCTGTAAACTTGTGACGAGGGATTGCTGCTTCTCAAAGGGTGTAGATATTGTGCTCTCTTGTGGGTCTCTTCTTTCTGGTGAAAGTGTTCTGTCTTGGGAGATGGTGGTATGCTGCTATTTGAAATTGCTAGTTAAAGGTATCTGCTGGCATGAGAGCCATGAACTTTCAAATTTAGGTAGCTGAGTGGTTTTTTTGTTTTTTTTGGCACTGGGGTTTGAACTCAGAGCCTCATGTTTACTAGGCAGGCGCTCTTCCATTTGAGCCACTCCACCAGCCCAGCTGAGTGTTTTGTTAACTTGAATTCATATGACAACAGATTTAACTAATCCTAAATCAATCCTAAATTATTGGGGCAATCAAGAAATGGGGTGTTCTTAGAAAGGTCTGAATTTCTGGATAGGTGAAATTTCTTAAATTATTTTCATTGCTGGGTGTGCATGGTACAGGTTGTAAACCCAGCAGGTGGAAGGCTGAGGCAGGAAGATCTGAGTTCAAGGCCAGCAGAAGCTACATAAAGAGACCCTGTTTCAAAAAACAAAAGCAAAAAAGTGATTTTCATTTTCTGAACCCACGTTTAAGAAAATCTTTCTAAGAGGACTGGTAGAGTGTCTCAAGTGGTAGAGTGCCTGCCTAGCAAGCGTGTGACCCTGAGTTCAAACCCCAGTGCTGCCAAAAAAAAAAAAAAAATGACCACATGAATGAACAGAATTTATGGATAGCAAAGATTAGCAGAATGACTTCCACAAAGGCAGTCTTTAAGCAGTGGCCAGGGCAGTTAGCACCAAGTGGCCACAGGCTGCTGTAAGTTTTGTGGTGACCATGAGAAATGGAAGGCAGAATCTCAGCCTGCAGAGGTCACCAGATTGCTGGTACCCGCTCATGCTGATGAAAGACAGGGGGAAGAAGGGGAGACACAATAGGTTGTTGCAGGTAGCCTGGATCCTTCACTGGCCATTGGTTGCTGGACCATTGGAAGCACATGCCACTTGCTTCCCTGGACCTTCCTGTCCTCATGGGAGAATGAGGTGTTGAGCTCAATTACAAAAGTACCTTCAGCCTTGGGGGGTGCAGAGCAGGGATTTATTGAAGGAAGCCTGAGCCTGGGCCCCAGGACTTGTGTCATTGGGTGAGTCAGTCAGACTGGGGCCTGAGGAAAATATTGTCTTCACAATGAACAGAAGGGGACCGGCAATTAAGAAACACAACACGCTTGGCTGGTGGCTCGGGTGTCCTTTCCACGAGGAAGGATGGGGTGACTCATCAACCGGCTGTAACCTGATCAGACAGAGCTATCTGATTTCCTCATTCTGATTCCAGGCAAACAAATTATTTTAATTTGGTTTCCAAGGCAGTTTCCCCAGCAAGAGAAGGAGGGGACACACTCAAGTTCCCAGGCTACATCAGCAATTGGAAATCCGTATTCTTTTGTGGGAGCAAAATCAGATCACATATGAGAAGTGACTGAGGTTATATAAAGTAGCGTTCGAATGCAAAGGGATAGCATGCTCTGTAAGTGTCACCACTGGTTAGGAATCGCTCTCGTGCTGATTTGGTTAGCCTTTGAAACATTTTTTTAGAAGAGCTGGTAAGCCCTGGTGATTCTGGATGTGCAAAGCCAATCTGAGGTGAAATCACTGGTGTTTATGCACAGTACACTGGGAGCTCTGGGGCCAGGTGGGGAAGGAATGCCCAGAAAGTCTAGGTAACTTGTCCCAAATTATGAGCTAGTAAGGTTTGGCTGGCAAGTTCAACTCCAAGTTCCACTCCCAGCATTGCTGCTTCTTCAGGGAGTGAATTTTCTTCTCCCATCAAACATACCCCCTCACACAGGTGCTCACACATGACCACGCAAGATCTGTGCCAGTGGGACAACTGAAGAAGTGAAGAAACCCAAATGTCAACCTGTTCTAGAGGCTATGGATCTGTTTCTACTCCTTCCTTCCAACACTGCTGGAAGAAGGGGGGGGGGGTTCCCGTATAGCCCAGGGGCTCCCTGCATGGTTGCATCCCTTCAGCTTCCCTTACATCTGGGCCCCAGTTGAGTCTGCTTGCTGCAGGTGTAGAAAGCTCCTATTCTGCTCGGGCAGTCTCTGGGGTGTCAGAGATGCCCTTGAATCCTGCTCCTACCTCCTCTTCTGTCTCGTGGATGGATGTGAGGGTGGTTGAGGACCTACACTGTGCTGGCTGTCTCAGAGCAGCACTGCCCAACCACCCTGGGCTCCTGGCATCTCAACTACTGGAGTTCCAGTCTCAGATTACCAGAGGGGAAGGCAGGCAGGCCTCTGTCTGCCATCTGAGTCTGACCAGGTGTGCCTGGACCACTGGGGGCACTTTGTGTCCATACCGTTCCGTTCACAGAGGGAAGAGGATATCCATGCTGCCTGACTGGGACATTCTAGAGGTTCAGCAGAAAGATGAACTGGCCCCATTCCTGCATCACCTTTTTCTGGATTTATTTTGCTGCTTCCAGACTGAGAGGTGAGAGGCTGGTGATCTGTACCCATCTCAGCTCCTCTGTGGCCATTTCTGGTGGGAGGTGAGGTGGGACAGGAAAGACAGAAGAGCTGACCTAGCTACATGCAAGTGTTCATGTGTCTTCTTGATGCATGCTGACCTGGGGAGTACATGCCAAAAATCAACTTATCTACCACCCAAAACTTATCCCTAGCTGGCATGGGGTCATCCCCAGTTTCAGAGATCAGCCTAGTGTTCTTTGTCTTGAAATACACACAACGCCCTGAATGTTGACCCAACTCTCTCTTTTTGATCAGTTGTAGAAACAGCAGATGGAAAATATGCTCATAAGTTGTTTAATGACCTTTTTGAAGATTATTCCAATGCTCTTCGACCAGTAGAAGATACAGATAAAGTCCTAAATGTCACACTGCAAATCACATTGTCTCAGATTAAAGATATGGTGAGTAACATAGAGGTGACACTTTGGAAGAGGGGTTAGAATAAAAACAAGCGTGCCTCCTGAAAGGAATGTCTTAAGTGGGAACTTGAGACCGTTCTGTGTACCAGGTGGTGGGAGGAGAGAAAGCCAGGAGAAGGAAGCTTCCCATAAAACAAATTAATTTCTCTGAGTAATGTTACTATTACCTTTAGTTCTGGTCATGAGCCCTAACAGTCTTAGATAATCTAAAGAAATGTGGGGTTACATATTGTGTGATTCCACTTATGTGAAATCCAAAATAGGTAAATCCATGGAGACAGAAGGCAGAGCAATGGTTGTCAGGAGCTGGGGGGATGTGGGGAGAAATGAGAAGGAACTGTTTCTTGGTTATGTGATTGGTTTCTTGCGGGGATGATAAAATGTTCTTGAATTAGATAGCAGCTGATGGTTGCACAGCACTTTGAATGCTGTTAGAAGCCACTGAATCGGTTATTTTGTGTTATATGAATTTAATAGCAATAAAAAAGAGAGGTGATGTTTTAAGATGATGTTAAAGCTTACTTAGTGCACTGAATGTATTTAATGACACAAAATTATGAGACTTGAAGGATTTTTCTTTTGTGCATTGTAGATACTTCCTGACTTCCTCAAGCAAGTGTATCATAAGTTGATTCATTTTCAAAGAAAATTGAGCAGTTGGTCCATGCAAAGATCTAAGCAATTAAATATTTACCTCCTTTACATTCTGGTACTAAATCAAGGAGGAGAAAAATGTGGCTGGTAGTTAGTCAAGCAGGTAGAATAAAAAGGCTCTCACTTTGTAATTGAAAAGTAGAGGCGTGGTCTTGAAATTCCTGTTGTGAATGAGTGTCCCGAGACGGAAGGCATTTGCTTGAAATGTCTATTGGATGAAGTGACATGTGCATTTGTTGTGTAGGATGAAAGGAACCAAATTCTGACCGCCTATCTATGGATCCGCCAGATCTGGCATGATGCATATCTCACGTGGGACCGGGACCAGTATGACGGGCTGGACTCCATCAGGATCCCCAGTGACCTGGTGTGGAGGCCAGATATAGTCCTGTACAACAAGTAAGTGCGAGTCAGACCAGAGCAGTTCCTGGAATTTAAACAGAATGAATAGAGAATGCTTAAAACATTCATGAAGATAAGGAAGTAATCCAGGGTCCTAGGCCCTTAAATAATAAAGCTCTCAGATAATAAAAGAACAGGTTATAAAGCTTAGCGACAGAAGGAGACGGTCACACTCAGCCTGTAGTCTCCCTTTTCAGCTGAGAGACCAGAAGCAGCTTTAGTTGTCTAGGGCTGCCCCAGAAAAGTTGCACAAATTGGGTGACTTAAAGACCAGTAATTTGTCAACTCATACTTCTGGGGGTTGGAAGAGCAAGGTCAAAGTACCAGCAGGGTTACTTCCTTCCGAGGGCTTTGAGGAGAAACCTGTTCCATGCCTTTCCCCCAGCTGCTAGTGGCTGTCTGGTACCTTCTATGTTCCTTGAACTGTAGAAACATCGTCTTGATCTTTACCTTCCTCTTCATGTGGTGTTCTCCCTCTGTGCTTCCTGTGCCCAAAAGTCTTCTTTTATAAGGAGACCTGTGATGTTGGCTTAAGTGCCTTCCACCGCCAGGCTCCAGTATGACTCATCTTAACTGATCAGCTCTGCAATAACTTGCTCTTAAATAAAGATGCATCCTGAGGTGCTAGCAGACGATGACGCCTCTGTAGAAACTTTCTGGGGTTACAATTCAACCTATCACAGTGGCTTGTGTTGGCCAAGGTTAAGTAGCAATACCAATGATGTTACTAAAATTAAATAGGAATGGGCCATTTACCTACCTACAGGTTTTGACTCTGTTGAGTGGAGGGTGAACTGGACCACAGGACAGTTGGGTCTTGTGTATGTCTGTAGGTAAGGTTTGGTTTTTCAAACTGCAAAGCAACAGGAACCACCTAAGGACCTTGTCAAAGTACAGGTTGGGCTTTGGTGGTCTGGGTGAGGCTGTGGTTCTGCCTCCGACAAGCTGCCATGGTGTCTGTGCTGCTGGTCCCTGGGCTACGTTTTGGGAAGGAAACAGATCTCCCTGTCATAATTCAAGTTCAGTTTCTCCACCTGTTGTTGAGGGCTCCTCTCTCTTTTTATTCTGGAACCCAGGTTTCTGTGGAGTAAGAAAGACTCCTCTGTGGCTCAGACAGTGAGAGGGAGGGACATCTGGGTGTGTCAGGGGAGGAGGGAACCCTTGGGTTGAGCCTTCCAGTGGGCATGAGTTTCTCTTAAGGAAGCAGCACTGGTGGGTGGCAGCCTGCATTTTACTCCTTCCTCAGAGCCCATCCAGGGGTCATGACCCCTTGAATCGTAGCTCTGAGCATGGTGTACATTCCCACTGAGCAACCAGAGGGATGTACTTGTTCCCTTCCGGGCAAGATGATATCCACGAACTGGCACCTTATTACTCCTGGTCACCCTTCTTCCCTCTTGTAATCTCTCTCTCTCTCTCTCTCTCTCTCTCACACACACACACACACACACACACACACACACACACACATACTCACACACGGCAAGAAAATAAACATGATCCACTACAACACTCATCCACAGAGTACAAGAGTCGTGTCTGAGAAAAGAGTTGACACAGTGATCTCTTTCAGCTTTTTGTAAGTTCTAACAAAACTCTGCTCCCCCCCTCCCCCCACTTTCATTGGCCACGACACTGATCCACTGTCACTGCAATGCTTCTTCGCAAGCTTGTGTGAGAACCTAAGCTAAGCCTGCACAAGCATCCTGTACTAGAAAAGCAAGAGATGAGCTCATGGCAGCAGTGCTTCTGCCTTGCTTTGGCAGTGGAGAAAATAGAAGTTCTGTACCCTAAAATGCTGGGCATAGACATTGACAAAGCAAAGGAAGATATGTTCAGAATAAGTGATTATCTCTAAGATTATCAACAAATGACTTTTTTCCTCTGTGTGTTCCAAGTGTTCCAAATAAACACCTCTTTCAATAGCAGCACAGTTATTTTTAATATTCTGGTGCCTGAGTGAATGAAATCAGGTAAGCAGATTTTAGCCTGACAGGCTTAGTTTTTGCCTGGATGTTCAAATCATTAGGTCTGAACCAAGGAAGTAGCATTGGAAATAGCCAGGAAGGAAGACAGAGCAGGGAGGCTTTAAAGGAAGAACGCAAGAGAACTTGGCCCTGTCTTGATCAGGAGATGGAGGAGGGCACATTAGAGGTGATTCTGAGCTACAGTGACAGGGAGAACGGTGATTCATTTGTAAAGATGCTGAAGTGATGGACACAGACAGTGAGCTGTGTACGGAAGTTGGTAAGTTCTCCTAACAAGTGGCTGTCATTGTCCTCATCTGAACTCCAGGGCTGACGATGAGTCTTCAGAGCCTGTGAACACCAATGTGGTGCTGCGGTATGATGGGCTCATTACCTGGGATGCACCAGCCATCACCAAAAGCTCCTGTGTGGTGGATGTCACCTACTTCCCCTTTGATAACCAGCAGTGCAACCTGACCTTTGGCTCCTGGACCTACAATGGCAATCAGGTGGACATATTCAATGCCCTGGACAGTGGAGACCTCTCTGACTTCATCCAGGATGTGGAATGGGAGGTCCATGGCATGCCTGCTGTGAAGAACGTGATCTCCTATGGTTGCTGCTCTGAGCCTTACCCGGATGTGACCTTCACACTCCTTCTGAAGCGGAGGTCCTCGTTCTACATTGTCAACCTCCTCATTCCTTGTGTCCTCATATCTTTCCTTGCTCCTTTGAGTTTTTATCTCCCAGCAGCCTCTGGGGAGAAGGTCTCCCTGGGAGTGACCATCCTGTTGGCTATGACTGTATTTCAGCTAATGGTGGCAGAGATCATGCCAGCCTCAGAAAATGTCCCTCTGATAGGTAAGTTTCAGTGTCTTACACCTTGAGCCCTAGCTTTGTGGAGAATAAGTTCGTGTACCTACCTTTAAACTGTAACATTTGGGCCAACTCAAGTCTCAACATAGGTTGTTACATAATTCATTTGGTGTTTGCAGTTGTCATTTTTGAATATAGACATGATTGTTGGAAGAGAACTGGTCTTATAGTCTCTGGATTTACATAAGCGTCATTATAGTTTATGTTTCTCAGAGTGGTGATCCTGGGGCCCTCAGCATCAGTAACACCTGGGAACTTGTAGCTTCGCAAATTCTCAGAGCCTTCCTTAGACTTACTGAATTAGAAACCCTAAAGGTGAGGCCTGATGAGCTGTTTAAACAAGCCTTCCAGGTGATTCTGATGCACTTTCTGTGCAAGTCTGAAAACCACGGTCTTAGAAGTTAAGGCTCTGATTTTTGAAGCCAAAGGAGCCTGCATTTGAATGCTGATGTCACCACTACTCCTTGATCAATTTAAGCAAGTTGCTTAATCTTTTAGTCTCTGCTTGGTTATCTGCAAAATTTGCATAATTGCTACCTCCTGGGCTATTGTTTAGCCATAGAACCTAGCATACGATGAGTGCTGAGTCAACAGTGACTTCTGTGATCTTTTCACATTACAAGGGCTTTCCTTTTGGCAAGAGTGGCTAATGGGACAAGACGAAGAGCTGAATTTTTAAGCCTGACATCTACCCTATACCTTTACTGGGTATAAGAGGTATGGGAGAGTTTATTAAAGTGCAGATTCTCACACCCAAAGAGTTTGGTTTAGCAGTCTTAATTAAAATTTGGGGATCTGCGGTAATTCTAATGCAGAACGTATTTTCATAAGTCTGTAAATATGAAATGTGCCTCCTAGGGTTGGAGTGCAGACAGGAGGGACCAGCCTTGCTCCCTCCTTGGTCTGTCTTGATCGGAGTTCTCTCCTATAACACCTACTTCCCACCACCAAGGCTACCCCTCTTATCCAACACCTCCATCTCAATGAATTGCTGTTGTAATACATGCTTGCCAGAATCCAAAGCTAGACCTAATTTTTAGCTCCTTGAAATAAGCAATGGGGAGAAATTCCAAAACTCCAAGGGACTCAGGAGAGACCAATAGCACAGAATTGTTGTATGACCTTTTGCTTTCTACAGAATCTAATTACCCAATATCCAGATGTTTCTTAACTGTTTTCTCTGGAGATTTCTTTCTTTTCATGTCTCTCCTAGCAACACACACACACACACACACACACACACACACACACTCACTCACTCACATCTTTTTGAGAAATAAACACAATAGGTTTTCCTCCCCTTTAATAAAGAGAAAGAGATGTGTTGGCATTTTTGTTTCCTCTCCTGAGGCAAAACTGATTGACAGTGATGCCATCCAATCACCACCTGTTTGAGGCACGATCACGGTAGTCCCCTCTCCTTTAGCAGTGATGTTCAACAGCAAGTTGGTACAATATCTAAAGAAAGATGGCCTGAAGGAATCTTTTGAGTGTCACTTGTTCTGTTTCTATGATAATATGAAGTTTACCTTTTAGGAAGCATGTGTAGAGATTGTGAAAGTACTTATTAACAATCACAATGTATTATTTGTAGCATATATGAATTGTGCCCCCAATCTTAAAGAATCTCATTTAAGTTTTCTGCATTTGCTGCATATTTTTTGGTCCAGGGTCTTCATCTTACCAAGAAAGGCCCTTTTTCAAAGTTAACCTGGCGTTTTAAAACAGCTAACAAATATATAGTAGACATGATCAAATGGTTTCTCTTCATCTGTTAAAATAAAGCTTCATCCATTAATATAGCCTATTATATCAATAGGCTTTCTGATGTCAAACTTCTTTGTATCCTGGACCAAATTCTCTTTTGTCATAATATTTTATCGTTTTAAGATGCTATGTGGTTCAGTTAGCTAATGTCTTATACGATTTTCTCAAATATGTCTCTAAGAAAAATGTCTTAATACTTATTTTTCCATCACTTGCAGAATCAGGGTTAAAATGAATCTTTTCCCTCCTTTTCCATTTCTGGAACAACTTGTATAGAATATGAATGTTCCTTGAAAGTTTGGTAGAACTCACTTACAAATTCTTTTGGGCCTAAAGCCTTTTCTAGCCAAGTGTTCTTTTCTTCTTATGCTAATTTTGATCTTATATTGTCTAGAAATTTCATCTAGACTCTCAAATATATTATCATACAGATATTTATATAACTTTATTATTTTATTTTTCTAAATACTGTTTTACTCTCTCTCTCTGTCCTCCCCTCTCCTCCCTTTCTCTTATCCTCTCCTTATTTGCTCAGTGCCCTTATCAAAAGTTTATGTTTTTTCTTCTTCTCTTTTTATTTTTTAAGATGGGGGTCTTGGGCTGGCACAGTAGCTCATGTGGTAGAATGCCTGCCTACTAAGTTTGAGGCCCTGAGTTCAAACTCCAGTGCTGCAAAAAAAAAAAAAAAAGATGTTGGTCTTATTGTATTGTCTGGGCTGACCCCAAACTCATGGGCTCAAGCAATCCTCCTACCTTGGCTTCCTGAGTAAGTGGGACTAAAGACACGTGCTAATGCACCCGACTTTATTTCTCTTCAAAAGCTTGTCTTTGGTTTTATTCGCCTTCTTAGTTTTTTGTTCTGAATCTCATAAACTTTACCCTTATCTTTGTTTCCTTTGTTCATTTCCCTGTCTCGTGAACATTTTCTTTATACAATTTCATTTTGAAGACAGTGTCTCCGTCTCACCCTATAGTAATTGTCTCCCATAGTAATAAGGTCTGAAGACAATTCAAGAATTGTCAGGTTCATTAACTGTTCGTTGAGAGTGGAAAAGTTTTTACATTTTAGTCTTACAATCATTTGCAATCCTTTTAACTTGGAGTCAAGGTCAGTGTGAGAACTGTGTATGTGTCAACTCTGTTAAGTCTCAGCCTGTTTTGGGGAGTTAAATACTATTATTAAACTCATTTTACAGAGCAGAAAGCTGAAGCTTAGCAAGACTGTGAATCTTGCTTAGGTTACAGGTCTAGTGGGTGACGAATTCGAACCTAGGAAGTGTGACTCAAAAGTCTGTGCTAGTGATGTCTAGCCACTTCTTAGAGAGGGCGTTTGCTTCTTTCTCTTTCTGCAAATGTGACGACAGAGTTAAAGCTAACTTAGCTGTTGCTATTTTCACTCCAGGCAAATACTACATAGCCACAATGGCTCTGATCACAGCCTCCACCGCCTTGACCATCATGGTGATGAATATTCACTTCTGTGGCGCCGAGGCCCGGCCAGTGCCACACTGGGCCAGGGTGGTCTTCCTAAAGTACATGTCTAAGACCTTGTTTGTCTATGACGTAGGTGAGAGCTGCCTTAGCCCACGCCACAGTCAGGAACGAGACCATCTCACCAAGGTGTATAGTAAACTCCCAGACTCTGCCCTGAAGACAGCCAGGAACAAAGACCTTTCCACAAAGAAAGAAATGAACAAACTCTTAAACAAGGAGCTGGGGAGCCGCGGTGAGTCCCCACAGGACACTGAGAGTTACTGTGCCCAGTATGAAGTGCTGACGAGGAATATCGAGTACATTGCCAAGTGCCTCAAAGACCACACGGCCACCAGTTCCAAGGGCAGTGAATGGAAGAAGGTTGCAAAAGTCATAGACCGATTCTTCATGTGGATTTTCTTCATTATGGTCTTTGTGATGACTATTTTAATCATAGCAAGAGCAGATTAGTAGGCATTTGATATCTGAGGGTAAGTCAGTAAAATTCTCTGTGCTATACTCCAATTTCTTTCAGCCAGATTGGTATCTATATATAGCTTAGGGTTATGTCATCTGTACTTTTTATTTTTTTGCCTTTCTTTTTTTTGTTTTTACTGGGATATGAACTCAGGGCTTCCCACTAGCTAGGCAGGCACTCTACTACTTGAGCCCACCTCTAGACCATTTTATTGTGTCTGGTTATTTTGGGGATAGGGTCTTACTTTTTTCCCAGGCTGGCCTGGACTGTAATCTTCCTATTGTATGCTTCCTGCACTGGGATGACTGGTGTGCACCACCCATCTTTTTTTTAATTGAGATGGAGTCTCACAAACTTTTTTGCCCAGGAACTGTGATCTTCTGGATTTAGCTTCCTGTGTAGCTTGAGATACCTGTATACAGCTATAGGTTGACAAAGGGGATCTCCTGTAATTTTATCTGGGCTGGCCTTGACCTTCAATCCTTCTGATCTCAGCCCCCCAAATAGCTAGGATTATAGATATCAGCCACTGTTGCCTGTCTGGAAAGACCCCTTTTATAGCCTACCAGAATTGTGGGTGACTGTTCTTTAATTTATTCAATTATTCATCTGTTTCATACTGCTGACATCAAAGCACAGCATGTTACTGTTTAAAACTTAAAGCAAAAAAAGTGCAAACCAGCCAGCCCCCATGGCTCATGCCTGTAATCCTAGCTACATGGGAGGCTAAGATCAGGAGGACGGCAGTTTGAGGTCAGTTGGGACAAATAGTTGGCGAGATACCATCTCCAAAGTAACCAGAACAAAAATGGGCTGGAGTTGTGGCTCCACCAGTAAAGTGTCTATGAAACCCTAAGTTCAAAACCCCAGTGTCAAAAAAAAAAAAAAAAAAAGTACACTCATACTGAACTCATTTTCCCTTGGTCCCTATTAAAACATGCTTTGAAAAAAGGAAATTGATCATGTGCACCCAAGTGTGATTAAAGCCTCAGTGGTACCTTGTTCATGCATGGTGCCTTGTAAGCCAAATTGCAAATGGTGGTTTAAAAGTTTTGTCCCATAGAAAGCCTTTAAAGGTCAGCCTCAAAGAGGAAGAGAACGTTGTCATAATTGTGACATCATATATGTTTTGTGTTTTATATAAACTCATTCCTGAATTAAGTCTTTAATTAAAATAAGAAAGAGATTTTACCTACATTCAGTGTTTGATCCAAACAAGGTAACCAATAGGCTTAGTGCATTCATTCACTCATTCAATTACTTACCAATCAAAGCTGAAAAGCTTCAGCTGCTGGATCACAGGCTTATGACTGCTGTTGAGATCCAGTTGTCTGTTAGATTACTGCTTTTAAAACCATAATTCTTGGACTGCCTCAAACTAAAGAGCTTCCACACAGCAAAGAAAACAGTCACCAGACTCAAGATTCAGTCCACAGAATGGGAGAAAATCTTTGCCAGCTACTCATCCGATAAGGGACTAATATCCAGAATATATAGGGAACTCAAAAAACTCATCTCCTAAAGAATCAACACCCCAATGAAGAAATAGGCACATGAATTAAACGGAATTTTCAAAGGAAGAGGTACAAATAGCCAGTAAATACATGAAGTGTTCAACTTCCCCGGCTATAAAAGAGATGCAAATCAAAACAACACTTAGGTTTTATCTCACCCCAGTTACAATGGCCATAATCAAGGGTAATAACGACCACAAATGCTGGCAAGGATGTGGAGAAACAGGAACCCTTATACACTGCTGGTGAGGATGCAAATTAGTACAACCATTATAGAAAATAGTATGGAGATTCCTCAAAAAAACTAGAGATAGAACTGCCTTATGATCCAGTGATACTGCTCCTCGGCTATTTACCAATAGCCAAGCTCTGGAAACAACTCAGATGCCTACAACTGATGAATGGATCAAGAAATTGTGGTGCATATACACAATGGAATATTACTCAGCCATAAGTTTTGAGGGAAAATGGATGCAATTGGAGGACATCATGTTAAGTGAAGTAAGCCAGGATCAGAAGAAACACAAAAGCCGCATGTTTTCTCTCATATGTGGAAGATAGATCCAAAGATAAACATACATGCAAAAACAAGCATGATCATATACAAACTGAAATATAGAATATGTTTGTAACGGTGGAACTACTCTATGGAACTTGGGGAAAGAGGGAAAGGAAAAGAAAATGATAGAGCATCAGTAATATTGCATACCATAAGATGTGAAGGTAGAGGATATGAGGATGTGTATTGAAAGCTGTTGAAAAATGGGGGGTGGGGGGTAAAAGGGTAAAGGAGAGTATTGGAAGGGGTTGAATGGACCAAAGTAAAGTACACCCACAGCAGGGATACATTGAGACAGCCCTTTAAACATCAACTTAAATATTAATAACAAAAACCAGGACTTGTAAAATAGGTACAGTGTGTGTTGGGGGTGGTAATAGTGAAAGAGGGGAGAGTGAATGGAGATTAAGGTGATGGATATGGTAGAGGAACTTCATATACCTATATGACACAGACTAAGAAAGCTCTTGCAATTGCTTTAAGTGGGGTGGGGAGGGGTCGAGGGAGAGAGACAATGGGGGCAATGTAAATAATATACAATGTAAGACTAATTGGGATTGTCACTATGAATCCCCTCCCCAATAATGAATATATCTTAATAAAAATTTATTAAAAAAAAAAAAAAGATGGAAGAAAGGAGCCATGGGCCAAAAGGCAGAGAAACAGATTGTCCCCAAGAGCCTTTGGAAGGAACATACCTTTGCAAATCGATTTTAGCAAAGTGAGAGTCAGCCCAGATTTCTGACCTCCACAACTCTTAAGAGAAGAAATATTTTGAAGGTAGTAAGGCTGTGATAACTTGTTACAGTAGCAATAGAAAGTAAATGCTATGGTGTCCTATGGTTTGAGATGGTTTATATGCCTCCCTCTGAGGGTTCATGTGTTGCAGGCTTGGCCCCCAGGGGGCAGTGTTGGGAGATGGTGAGACTTCAAGAGATTCTTAAGTGGGGAATGCTGTCTGAAGGAATTGCGGGACCCTGTCTCTCTCTGGCTTCCTGTTTGGAGATGTGATTTTTCCATCCATACCTGCTCTCACCATTACATCCACTATGAAGCAATGTAGCCAAAGGGGCCCTGACAAGAACCTGCACCTACTGTTTGCACTATAAACCTCTAAAACTCTGAGCTAAATAAATCTCCTTTCTCTATAAAGTTTTCCTGCCTTAGACATTTCATTATAGCAACACAAAACTACTACATTGGGTGTATAACTTTTTCCATATTTTAGATTACTTAGTTGGGATAGATTTGTCTAGAGCCAGATTGAGCAGGTCTTATTGAGCCATGCTAAAAATCTTGAACTTTATTTGAGAAATATCTGAAAAACAAAAAGATTTTGAGCAAGGGAGTGATAGTGTTAATGGCAAAAGATTCAGAAGATCTTGGTCCTTGCACTCCGGAGTGGAAGAATCCAAGGTGTAATTGGGCTTTATTAAAAGTTAGGGAAGGGAAATACAAAGGAAGCATGGTGGGCCCAGGTAGAATCTGGAGGCAGAGAGCATGCTTCTCTTCTCCAGGTGCTTTAAAAAATTATAGTAACCTATGGGAGGGAAGAACCAGGTGATTCCCATCCAGTAATCAATGAGGGGAGAGGAGCAGGGGCGATTCCTGGGTCAGGTGAGGGCAGTCTACATGCACATGTCAATATTGTCATACATTTTTTTATGAGCCCCAAACTTTCCGTAACTCTAGCCTGCCTCAGTGTCAGATTTGTGTTTCAGAACTGTGCTGGCAAGTAAAGGATTGTAGAGAAAAGAAAGAAGGGGGGGATGGGTGGCTCTGTTGGAATGTAATAATGAAGATCTGCTCCAAGATGGTGGGAATAAGAAAATGAAAAAGATTACACATCACAAACTACACATGACCGGGTATGAATAGAATGTGGTGACTGGTTGGCTATGGATTGTTGAGGAAGTGGTGTTTAAGAGAGATATAAAGATGAGAAGGAATTAGCCAGGATAAGAGTTGAGGAAACTGCCAGAACTCAGGCTCAAGGGCAGAACGGGGCTTATTATACTTGAGGAAGAGAAAGGAGGCCTGTGAGGCAGAGCAGCTTGACCAAATCATGAGAGGTGTAAGAGTTGAGATTAGGGTCAGGCGTGGTGGTGCATGTCTGTAATCCCAGCTATGAAAGAGGCAGAGGTAGGAGGGTTGAGGTCCAAGGCCAGCCCGGGCAAAGTTAGTGAGACCCTATCTGAAGAAAAACGGCTGGGAACAAGGCTCAAGTGGTAGAGCACCTATCTAGCAAGCACAAGGCCCTGAGTTTAAAACCTACTACCACCAAAAAAATAAAAAATTAAGCCTAGCAAGGTGAATGGGTCTGGGTCATTCAGAGCCTGGCACAGCTTAAAAAAATCACCAGCCACTTTATTGTCTGACTGCCTGCATGCAGAGGTTCACCTGGCTTTTTTCAGGCTTGTCTCTTCTGGGTCTCTGTACCTACTTTTTTATCCAATGAGGGCTCAGACTTGCCAACACAGCCATGGGCAAAACTGGCAAATGGCCTGTCTTGGGAAACTGGAAACCCAAGTTCTAGGACATCTGAAGCAATAGCAGTGAGGCCACTTATAAGGTCACCAACTCCAGAGCTAGCAAGGAGCTGTCTGCCTCTTTCTTCCATCCTCTTGGATTATACCTTTGAAATAGGACCTGCCTGTTAAAACCTCATGAGCTTGTCAATATATTGAGGCCTCTCCAACCCTTAAAAAATAAAAGCCAGCCACAAAAGCTTCCCTGCCTTTGTGTGTTTTTTATCTCCCTACTTTTCTTGGCCCAGGTTCCCTCTACAGGATGGTGTGTTCAAATTAGAACAATCCCAGGGAAGTTCAACAAAGGACTATCTGCAAAGGTGTGAGTGGGTGGTAGAGAAATGCAGGGGAGGAAGGGAGTTGGGCCTAGTAAAGCCTGATTACCACACACCTGAGAGGAGGCAGAAGGGCATTGTTACCTGAAGCCAGAGGGAACTGTGACCTCTAGCTGAACTGAGCCATGCCACTGACGCCAAAGGAAGGAAGATATGTTCCTTCTCTCCTTCCTTCT